CAAGATCAAAACCATGCTCCCTTGCTGAAACTGAAACATTACTTTGGTGCACCTGATGCAAGAGCCAGCCCTGAGAGAGTTGAATCCACTAAGGTGAATTTGTCTCAGTAGAGTGAAGCAAGAGTTAGGCCAAATCAGGCTGATCAGCAATAGGGCCTTCACAACACTGCTGGCTGCTAGCCCAGCCTGAGCTTCATTAGTGCATTTGACACTCATGTCTACATGAGATGCTTAATGTGCAGAAGACTAATTCTACTGCACATTAGTGCGGCATGCTAATGTTCTAATGTGCAGTGCATTAGATTAAATCTACAGTAGCATCACTAAAAGACTGTTCATCTGTATTAGCATCGATTATGATGCATGAAGTTTAGTACCTGCAATTCAGGAAGGGTGCGTATTACAGGTACTAAACTTAATGTGCCATAATTATAGTTCATTAATGAACATGTAGATGTGCCCACTAAGGACAAGGTTGAGGGTGCAAAATAAAGGAGGGTGTATTAAACACCAGGGAATAAAGGGAAGGAAAATAAAATAATGGTAACAATAATAAGGTATGGAGGAAACAACTTGAAATACACACAGTAATACAGAATAGGATTATACTTTACCAAATGTGACACGGAAGAACCCGATGAACTGCAAATAGTAATCGGGAGCAATCCAAATCCAGAAGAACAGGTCAGGCCAAAGGGTGGCAAGCCAAAGGCAGAACCAGTTGAACTGAGCAGAATATCCAACTGGATAGGAGGTTACCACTGGAACGGGGTGTTTGCAGTAGTAACACTGCCTCAACTCTCCATGGGGAACTTGAATACTACTCTAGGGTTGCCAACCCTCCCAGATTGGCCAGGAGTCTACCAGAATTGACGACAATCTCCCAGTGACTATTGAAAGCAATCTGGGAGAGTGATATTGTGAATGGGTTGAACAGTACAATTAATGACATTATGTCATGTCGGGGAAAAAAAATCTCCTGGAATAGCTTCAGCCAGAGTTGGCCAACCTATACTACTCATAACACACAGTTCCAGACATGGCCAAGTATAGCAATCCACAAACACCAAGCCTCACAGATATAAATCACTAACTATCACCACCAGAGACCACCACAGATGCATGAACCCACTTGCACAAACCCACTCATGTGCAGATGCTTCAGACAGTGTATTTTTATTTCCAAAAATCACACCACTTTCTCCCATCCAATCGTTCTGGGTAAAGGGCTGGTCAATCACTGTCCATCAAACATTGACCAAGCACCTTCACTTGCACCAGATTCATTCACCCATCCATTACATGATTTAGTCACCTTTACCTCAGAACATACACCACAAATTCCTGCCACGCTTTCCATCTGGTCTGCACATGCCCAACTGCTAACTGGGGCAGCAGGTCGAAATTTCAACTCCTTCCAGTTGAAATTGCTTGCTTTCAACTGGAAGGAGTTGAAAATGCTTGTAACTTGTAACCATTACATCTTCTTTTAATATATACTTCTGGCTACACACCGTGTCTTGTCCCTCCTCCTGTCTCCCTTGCACTGCTGCCTATTCTAGTTTTAAAAACCCTGAACACAACCACTATTGACACTTCCCTTTTACCACATGATACAGAACAAACAATGATAAACACTTGTCTTAGATTGTTTAGATAAAGATGACTGCCTTGAGCAGGGGTTTGGATTAGATGATCTGAGGTCCCTTCCAGCCCTACTTTTTTATGATTCTGTGAGAAAAATCCTGCCTCCCTCTCCTGCCCTTGATCAGATCCAGATCTGGAACCATGGATGACAATGACTCCATGAACCCTGGGGATCTGGGAATGCCCCTCTCCCGCAAGATGCCCCTAGCATTGTCATGTCAGTCTACCCAGAATGCAGTGCAGCAGAGTGCAGTGTGTCTCCCTGTGATTCAGGAAGCGTGCAGAGACAATATTATGCTTTTTCAGGGAAAGAATCTCCATTAACTGAACAATTACTTATTTCATCAAGTTTCTTGCAGGAGAATTGGGTGTGGCTATGTCCCTAATGCCCCAAACCAGCCCCTTCTGGGAAACATACCTACAAATCACTCCACAGAATGACCACAGGCTCCCCATAAGGCATCCACCTTAGTAGCACCAAGAAATGAAACCCCCCAACTACCTTGACATCCATGACTCCAGCCAACTCCTTTTTTTTTTTGGAGATTTTCAAGTTGACGTTGACAAAACCAAGTAGAAGAAAACAGAAAAATTATCAGTTTCCATTTTAGAGACAGTTTTAAACTACTCATGACGTTAAGCTTTCTATCTCCTGAGGAGGAGAGTAATTCTTGCCCAAGTGCAGCATGCAGAGACTAAACGGCAGGATGTTGTTAACAAGTACCAATTATGAATTAATGTCTCCATCAACATCATGAGGTCAAGTTGTGAATAGAGCCACTTAAAAAAAACTTTACAGGTAAAGTAAGGGAATTATTTTCCTAAGACAGAAAGTAGCTCAGCCCCCTACTACTGGTCAAATGATCTGGTAACCAAGGAAAGCAATAGAGGCAGCACTTATTTCTAAGTTTTCTTTTGTTTTCCTTAAGAAAACTGTAATGCTTGTCATCAGCTTCCCATTTGGAACACAGTTGTGACCACTGTAGTTGCTGCAGAGTGAAAGCATTTTTCAAAGAAAAAAAAGATAGCAGCACCAGGAACAACAGGGGAAAGTTTGATTTATTATATGAGGGACAGATGGGACAAAATAGGGGTAGAAATTAACATCCATTTTCTTGTGATTGAAGACATAGTTCTTTTCTCTTACCGGACATGACTCTACCTTTGACATCTGATTAAAAAAAATCTTTGCCTAGTCCTTAACTGGAAATAGGATAGTCAATATTAGAACAGTAGGTATCAGAGAAAGGTAGGGAGGTTCCCTATGCCACCCAGGATGAAGAACACTAAGCTACCAGGAAAGTGGTAAATAAATTGATGGTGATTTACAGAAAAATGAGAACACTCCTAAAGTAGAAAACACTTTTTTGTGTGTATACTGTAGCCCTATATTTTGTTGCTGTTCTTACTGTTTTGGACCATAAAAAGTTTTGCAGCTTTAGGCACCTCCTTACTTTCTCACACCATCACTGAAACTGTAGCAAGTACAGTTGGACATGTTCATACATCTCAAAACGTGTATGTCAAGCTATCTCAACAAGGGAATTATTCCAATGCACACCATATTCCCTGTAAAACTAGTTTTCTACTCCAAGATGCCATCCAGAGCAGCCAATGGAAGCCATTGTAAAACAAACGCTTTTGCAAAAAGGGGATATAATGGGGGCTAAGACCTAGAGTGAACAAGGCAGATTTAATAAAGCATGGAGACAGAGAAAAGAGTGGATGGAAATTAGCATCAAACTTTTTTGTATCAATATTCAACAATGGAAAAAATCTCACACCAAAGCAAACACAGCTTTTGTAGGCAGGGAGGCACTGCATCTTTCATTAGTCTTGTGTAATCTTCTAGTGTTTTATACAGAAGAATAACAATTTCAGTGCTCTAGTACTATCTTCCTGAAATTTGTGGGCAGCACTGACGTCTGCTCTGATGGAATCAAAGCTCATCCTTTGCTATAGGACCTCTTCTGAGACTGTTTTGTTATGAACTTTGGCAAATTGGTAGGAGTTTCACTTTGTCCTTTGCAAACGGGGAGGGAAGCATGTCCTGGAGGCCCCTGATTTGGTAGTGGCTCCTGGGCCCGGGCCCTGGTGGCCCATCCATTAATCTGCCTGTGCTCATATCATATAAAGGGAGACTTGTTAGACTAAAGTGGCTGAAAACCCAAGCATTCTCCAGTTCAAGCTCTTTGCTAAGTGCCCTCCAAGCAAAGTTATGTCATTTCAGGCCAGAGGTAAGTCTGGGGAGTGCTACCCAGCTCACCTTAGGTATAACCACCCTCCACTCTAGGGAGATAAATTGAGTGGTCCTCCAGCATCCCAGGATGCCTTGCTATGAGCTCCCCTTCCTCGCCCCAGAGCTAGGCTAGAGCCCAGGTGTGGGGGTTCCTAGCGAGGCCTCGCTGGCCAGCCTGTTAGCTACAAGTCAGGGCTGCACAGGGAAGAGCCTTAAGGCGACTGCTGCCGGCATGGCTTCACTGTGAACAGAGGGCAAATCTACATGTGCCAATTTAAGGAACTTTAGCTTGATTAAAAGTGCATTAAGGGTGCGCATCTACATGTGCGTGCCATTAACACACCTTAAAAATGGTGATTTTAGGCTTTTGTGCCTAGATCTGATACTTGCAAAAGCAGGCATCAAATTTGCTCACAAATAGCTAAAATACATTAAGAAACGCAAACCTATAGAGCTCTTGATTCAGAGATGATACCTTGTGTTAGGCCAATTTAGAAATAGCAAAAAAAACCCCAAACTTTTTCTGCAAGCTTTAAAAAGATCTTTTTTGTGTGTGTTTTCTTAGTTGGTTTAATACAAGGTACCATCTCTGAGCCAAGAGCTGTAGAGGTTTGCATTTCTTCTGGCCTCAGACCAACACAGCTACCAGATACATCCCTAAAACACAAGCAAACACATCTCTACAAGCAGGTGATGTAACAATTAAACAATTGTTTAAGTGGCTGAATTTTTGAAGCAAAATAAAAAAAGCTTTTTATTTAACGGTTTAAGTCGCTTAAAGTAATAAGGCTTGCTTGTTTCGTTTAGTGGTTGAGGATGGACAGATTTGGGACGAACTTGAGTCCCGCAACCGTCCGGAAGCGAGCCTAAACCGCCTTAATACAGACGCAGCTAATGCACGTTAACAGCAGGTGCGCCTGAAAGCACGTGTGGCCCGCCCGCCCGCAGTTATCCTGGGCTACTCACTCGCTCGAGCGCTGGGCGGGCCGGCAGCGCCCCGGCTCCCTCCGCCCGGGGCAGC